GTAGTCTGCCACCTAGAAGAGGGCCCTTAATCAGAACTTGACCACGCTGGTCCCCTGATCTCAGACTTCCAGTGTCTAGCACTGTGAAAAAAAAAAATTGTTGTTGTTGTTTAAAAAACACAGTATAAGGCTGCTTGTTATAAAAGCCCAAACTGACTAAGACACAATCTAATTACATTTTAGAAATAGAATTGACAAAATAGTAATAAAATTAGAAACATAATGTGTAAAAAAACATACTCATGCAATTGAGAGGTGAAACTACTGCTTTGTTCTCTTCAAATGAATCTGACATCTTCATGTAAGATTCGGCGATGGATGTCTCTAAACCTGATGGCCATATGCTTCTGCCAGCAACAAATGTTTGAGAAGTATCCTGGATGGGTTTTTATTGTTGTTGTTGCTTATAAATCATACTCACATATTGCCATAGTAATGTATTTTGAATTATGACACTTTCTATCTTTGTATGAAAAACACAGGGAGTAAAAAGCTATATTTTAAAAAGGAAATTTGAAGAGTTTCTCTCCACACTCTAAAAATAATCTAGCATATTGCCATACCCTTTCAATCAGACTCATCAAGAGTAATTAAATTTTAAATTCTTTATTATAAATTTATTATAGAAATTTCAAAAATATAAAAAGTAGATATGAAAGCATAATAAAACCCACTGTACTCATCACTTAYGTATATTTACCGCTGTATGGTCCATCTTATTTCTCCTATACAACCATATCTCCCTTTCCAATATTATTTTGAAGCAAACACCAGATATGGAATTATTTTATTTTCAATACATCAAAGTTATATTATACTCCATCTAGTTACAAAAAATGAATATGTGTGAAAGAAGACATAGAGAAGGAAGGGAGAAGAGAAATGGTAGGAACAAAGACCCAACTAAGGATGCAGGGTATGAGAAAGGGAAGGAGTAACACAGGTTGGTTATTGTTTCATTCTTATAAATATAAATTCAAATGAAGTAGCAAGTTTGACTTTGTGCAAGTTTATTTGCTGTAATTTTAAAAAGACCCCAGTTAGTACATATTTACCTTCAGAGAGTTCTGTTCTGCCTCAGACTCATGGGTCCTGATGACTGTGCATTGCAAACACTTCTAGATGCTATTCAGAGCCAGGATTATTTGATCCTTCCCAGATGGTGGATATTTTGGAATCTGAACCACTATACTCTGGGTTTCCTTGCCACTAAAACAAACAAAGTAAAAGGGCATTTTTCTGAACTTAGGTATTATTTTGTTTAAACTCTGGCTAAAAGGCTTTAATAAAGGTAGAAAAAATGTAAAGCTGTGGAAGAGCAAATACCACCATACAGCAACAAGTTTCAACCATAGGAGGATAATTGGGTAACTTTCCTACCTCCTCAAAAAAAAAGCTCCCTTACTAACTGACCCTGGACTGTGCTGACCTCCAGGGGGAGCCCTGTGGCAACAGAATCTAAGACTCCTCAGCAGAAGGGTCAAAATTAGTTTGAATTGCAACTGCATTATTTACTGAATGGGGCAATGTTTCTGATAACTGAAACACAAATGTTGATATTCAATGGATTAAAGACCAATGGTAGCAATTACAGATGACGATAATGGGAATTGAGTCAATTGTATTACCTGGGAAACTCTATGAGCTAATAACATACAGTAATTTACAGTAACGTGACTACTGCAGCACAGAAGTCTACCTTTATGGGCACATTATGATGTAAATGTTACACAAAGCCATTGTGAGATCCTGAAATCCAACATTCTCATCCACGATGTCTTTGGTTGATGTATTAAGGACGAGTAATTTGGGGGGGAAAAAACACTACTTATTATTGTTTGATACAAAGGATCAAGGGATCTGTTACTTAAAATCAACAGAAAATGCCATCTTGACACTAAATCACCAGACTTCGGCTACAGTAATCATTTAGTAATGTTAATTGCACTTTGAATATCATATTAAGGMTCAGCCCAAGGGCTCCGGTATTCTAATCTACATTCTGTTGTATGTCTTTTATTTTATTCTTTGAGCATAAAAGTGAAAGATGCAATTCTACTGCTTTTTATTAATATAGCACCTGTTATTCAAAACAGTCCAAAGGCTTTCAAAGAATAGATGTGCTTATAGACTATATATCATGARTATGTTCAAAACAGGCAGGTTACTAAGCAAGCCGATTTATTGTGTACTGGAGTCAAATGCATATGTTCTCCTTTTGTAAATATGATTCAACTGAGAGTCGAAACCATCCTATGAACTCATTACCATTTAGATTATTCAACCAAATACTATGATGTCTGAGTTATAAATTCTAATCATAAAATAGCATTTTCAAGTTCTACCCTCAAAGTGCTAGCTGCTAAGATTGATTATCTGTGACATGTCATGTCCCTGTATACTTTGGGGAATACAAAGGCACAGGTTGAACAGATAGGATATGGCAAAGAAGGAAGAACTCGGATTAAGGAAAGCAGTGGTGTCCTTTGGAAAGAGGYTGGTCACAGAGTGTTGATGTGGGAACAAGGTTTGCTTTACAGGATTCTAATTTAGTTTTAGTCAAATTATGAGTTAAAAAATATTGATGGTTATTGACATGTTTCTTGATCCAACCAGACTTCTGCGTTCTGACTTCTTTTTTTAATTTTTTTTTAATATTTATTTTTTAGTTGTTCTTGAACACAATACCTTCTATTTTATTTATGTATTTTTATGTGGTGCTGAGGATCAAACCCAGAGCCTTGCACATGCTAGGTGAGCATCCTACTGGTGAGCCACAACTCCAGCCCCACATTCTGACTTCTTTACAGGTGAAAAGTAACGCACAGTAGGCCCACTGTGATCTAACTTGGTGGTGTTTCTGAAGGTAAGTAGAGGAAGAGGGAGGAAGCGAGTAACCACCCACCCCGCTGTGACTGATACACTGAATGTCACTTTACACACTCCTGCGACACATAGGCACACAGTGCACTATTGAGAGCAGGATTGCAGCTTTACATACATGAATGAATAAGAAAAATGGAGGCAGCAAGCTGGGGTTGTGATTCAGTGGCAGAGCACTTGCCTAGCTCATGTGAGGCACTGGGTTCCATTCTCAGCACCACGAAAAATAAGTAAATAAAGCAAAGGTATTGTGTCCATCTACAACTAAAAAAAACAAAAAMAAAAAAMAAAAACAAAAACATTTTTTTGTTAAATGGAGGCACCCAAGGGTTCTTCCTTGAAAAATTAGACACGAATTAGGGTATATAGAAAGTAGTTCCCAAGCAACATTCTTTCAAAGAGGAAACTAGATTGGAAAGGCTTAAAAAAAATCAAATCAAGTATATTGTGTGGATGGATCTTTGAGTCCCAATTTGAAGAGGAAGGAAAAAAAAAAACTATGAAAGTAAATCTCTTAGACACTAAAGAAATAAGAACACTGCCTAGATATTTAATCACATTGAAGAACCATGTTCAACTATGACAGTCTTATTGTGATTATGTTTTTAATATTTATTTTTTGTTTATAGGTGGACACAATATCTTTTTTTTAATTTTTATGTGGTGCTGAGGATTGAACGCATGCTAGGCGAGCGCTCTATCTCTAAGCCACAATCCCAGTCATGATTATGTTTTTTAAAGTCCTCTTGTCTTAAAAATACATACTGAAATATTTATGAATTCAGTGATGTCTGGGTGCTTCTAGTCCTTTGGTGCAGTGAAGAGGGAGAGGAAAACGCCCAGATTTGAGACAGGATTGTGAGTTGGCAATTATTGAATCMCAGTAATGGGTACACAGGGCTTATTATGCTATTCTGTTTATATGTTTTAACAATTTTTCACTAGCAAATTTTTTTTGCAATCATTTTTTCAAGGACTGGCTTATAGTTCTGTGAGCTCTTTACCTATATAATAATATGCTTATTAGTGACATCCAAAACAATCAACAAAAAATTGATTGCTTTATGTTATTCAGGAAGAAAATACCCTCAGCTTCCACCATGACTTTTTGTACAGGACAAGATGAATACCAGTCATTTAAAGTGGAAACTCTGGGTCTCTAATAACGGGATTCTTTCCAAGTAGCAACACACTTCTATAATTTGTTACACTGTGATGGAGTTAAAACTGCAGTGGATAGGTTCTTAAAACAATAAAAGCATTTTGATAAATCATAGGCACCATAAAAAAACAATCACACATTTCATAAAGTATCCTTGGGGAATTGTTAATCACCTCAAAGTAAAATGAGGGCACCTACCCAGATCTGGCTTGGACATAACCTTCTCAGAGAGTGTCAAGTTTAGCACCGATTTCCAAATATGCACGGGAAGCTGGAGTGTACAGACTTTGAGGCTAAACAGCTCTGTCATGATTATTGCCTACTACCTCCTTGCTGGCTTCACAAAGAGCTGTGAATCCTAAAGGGCAGGATCTGCCAGCATTCATTACAACTTCAGTTCAATTAAAGGTGTTTGGGTTTATGTTTTGCAACAGTAATGAAATAGCAAACACAAGAAAACACTTGTCTTATGACCTAGAAATAGCAATAGAGAGTCTAAGGGGCAAACAAAGATAAGTTTCTGGAAAAATCGTGTTTTGTGTGTTTATTTTTCTTCCAGAACTCCARATAGTTGCTTTGGCAGGGAGTCTGCCCTCTCCTGAAGACTAGGAGGTGTTTACAGAAATCGAAAGTTCCAGCAGTATATTTCCATGAGCTCATTACCAGTTCCAGTTGTACCTTTTAGATTTCACATGTAGAAAAGACTATCCACGCAAGGTAAACCCGTTTTCAGCTKGTGTTTTAATTACAAACAAAGGACTGGAAGTCAGAGATTTAATTACTGTAACAGCGGGACATCCTTAGAATCCCAGCTCTGGTCACTATTATTCAAAGCAGGCCACTTCTGGCCTGCCTCTCTATGCTAATCAGCCTAGTCCCTTGGCTCCTCCTCCTTCCAGTCTCCTTTAAGAACTGTACAAGTCCAGCTGTCACTGAGGGCAACTCAGACTAGGCACAGGCACAGGAATCACTTGATTTAACCCCGCACCACTTTTTACTTTACTCTAGCAGTCATCTCTAAGTACCGAAGAAATTGGATTTCACATCAGCAGAYAAGAATTACCAAACTTACCAAAACTGTAATCTGTTAGAAATAGTGACTTTGCAGGATTTTAGACTACAAGAGAAGAAAGTTTCAATTTGCTTTGAAGTAAAGGGACTAAGTCTCATTTTTAGCCAAATGAATTGKCATCATTTTATGTAGGAGAAGTAACATTGGTAAATATTTATTTCAGGAGTCATGACTTGGAAAAACTTGGAAGTTTATTAGCAGAGTAAATGTTTTACACACAAGCCAGGATCTGCATGTACCTGTGGTTCCCGGTGCCTTCTGGGGACCAGTGTAGGTGACGGGCTGGGGGAAGGAAATGCCCTAGCAATTCTCCAGCCACAGCCAGACTGCTGGTATCATGTCTACCACACAAAGGAAGGGCAGCAGCCACCTGTTCACCAGTCCGAGCACCTGTCACCTGCAGGAGGATCAGCGACAGCAAGGTGAGTCTATGAGTTCTATGCTCTGTGACTTTCTGTCTATTTTCATTTCCAGAAGAATGGTGGGCTGATGCAGTATCTGTACAGTCTTGTAAAAATGATGTACAATCTTGCATCTTTCAACTCTCAGAGAAGGTATAATGATGAGGCATAATAATGGGTTAACTTGGATTCTCTATTGAGTTTCAAAATATCATCATGAACTGGGAGACCATGAGATCACATGTTCCTTGGAAACTTATGTGCTTAAACTTCTATTCACTGTCAGTTTTTAAAAGTTTGCTAGTTTTTTTTTTTTTTTTTTTTTAATTCAAAACACCCATGCAGGCAAGGCTCAATTGGCTCCAGGATGGTTTTATCTGAGAGTAGGTTTAAAGTTAGCTTGGAACTGTCCCCCTGTGTCATCACAGTGCACACAGTGGACAAAGTGGGACACTTGTGAACTTTGTTTAAGACTAACTTTTTCTGGATCTCTGACTGATTCATATGTAAAAACTATATATGAATACATAAATATTGTCAATTCTTTCCTTTTTATGGTGCAGGAACAGGTGGAAATGAACCGGGAAAAGTGTTAGGTTTCACTTGATGGGCACTTATTTAGAACTAAACTAACCCACCTCTCAGCCATTTTCACCAACAGTCGTTTTAAAATTTCAAATCCATTGCCCACCCAGCTGCACTAGTTAGTGGAGGAGGATTGACATGAATAGACAAGATGATTCTTCCAATCCACTCTATCAGAGACATCAAGGACCCTTGTGGGAAGGCTGGGTGCTCCCAGGGGCGACATCTTCGTCTCCCAGAGGTGAAGGATGCACCAGACATTTCTAACTTCTCCTCAGTAGCTGTGATGGATCTGTTTACATATGGATCCGGGCTAGGAGCTCTTCATTTATTTTSCTCTAGATATAGTTTTAGATTTCGGTGASATAAAGAATAGTGATTGATGGCCAAAACCTCCCCCTTCCAAGGTGGTGTCTGTGTGCTAACATTTATGTGACAGTGTCCAGCCACCTCTGTGTMTGAATGCTGGAGCTGTACAGAGTGACTTCATTACCCTGTGCGAGGCTTAGCACAGTGTGGGTAGGAAATACTTCATGTTAAATGAAGATAATGTGAAGTTTTTAGGTTACGCTAGACCGTTAAGCCTGAATTAAATTATCTTGAACAAAGTGCCTTAGAGTGTGAAGTCCTGAAGTGCAATGGGGTTTAGGCATGGCTCTGTAAAAAGTTTTTCTTCTTCTTTTAGTAGATAACCCTAGTTTATCACAGGCTTTTTGTTTGTTTATTTGCTATTCGTTTTGTTCAAAATGTTTAAAAGTACCCCACCCCTGGCAATTGCTGATTGAATTTTTATTTTATAAGATTTGGTGAGGGGAGAATAAAGCATCTGATAAAAAAAAAATCCCCTGTCACCCCACCACCTGAAGATATGTTACTCTCAACATTTTAATGTCTACTCTTCTAGCTTTTTCTTTTAGGCACATGTATAAATCTATATTGCTTGTTTTTTAAAAATAAAAATAGACATTTTGTACACAGTGCTTTGTAGACTGMTTTTTCTTTTAACAAAATGATGACCAAATTCCCAATTGCCTGCACCAGGCTCAATTGGCTCCAGGATAGTTTTATCTGAGAGTAGGTTTAAAGTTTTTCTTCTTCAATCTTATTTTTAATGGTTGCATACTATTCCTTCATGTGGATGAAGCAAAATTCYCTTAGATGATTCCCTACTGTTAGACATTGCATTTATTTCTAATTCTTCACTATTATAATCAACACAGTATTGAACCGGAGTGAGTGACTGGATCTTTGTTTTGATATAGGATTATTTTCTTGGGTGAAAGTCTTAGAGGTAGAATTGTATCTTCAAAGTATTGAGCTTTCTTTAAACTTTTCTTTTTTCTTAATTTTAATTAATGAACTTATTTTTTTGTCAAATAGTTTTCCAATAAGCAGTGAAGGGATATGCTTTCAGTAATACTGGGCAGTGTTTTACAAATTCTTTCCCAATTTTGTAAGTGGAAACTAATATCTGTACTGTTGTTTTAATTTAAGGCAGTCTGTCTTKGTAGGTTCTCCATTACTCCCATATCCAGAGAAGCCTGGAAATATCATTATGAAGACACAGTTCCAAAAATATCAACAAGACTAGAAGTCTGGTTTTCTTTTTCAAACTGAAACTTTTTGCTTAGAATGTTTTGAAAGCAACCGTGTGTTCTTCTACCGCTGAGCCTCAAAAATATCTGCCCACATAAACCACAATTCATGGAGTTGTGAAGCATTGACTGCTACACAAAAAGTCATCTGGAGATCTGAGTTGTCAAGTGACGCTGGGTAGTGTTTGCTCTGCTGTTAAATAGCTTTCCAATGACTGGAATTTAAAGTTTACATTTATTCCAGTCCCCGAGTTTAAAAGTAGTCATTCAGTACAGTGACCCTGATATTTTCTCCAAGTTATATTTACACCTTGCTATTATGCAGAGGTCAGCAAAGGTCCATGGAAGCAAAGCCGTTTTGTTTGAGAAGGAGGTCTGGCTGTAGGTTTGATCAAGGAAGCACCCTGGGGTCCTGGCTTTGGCTTCTCCTAGTTAAATCTTCCAGCCCCCTTATTTAGCACACAGACTATGATCAACTGACAGTTAACTCTTCTGAAGAGCTTCCATACATACGTGTTTTCTAACCCTCCATGCTGAATGTCAAAGTGCCTGTGTTAATTCCAAGGTATTTGACAATTTCCACCTAGTTATTCACAAAAGTGTACTTTTTTGATTGGCCACATAAATAAAAGTCATTTATTCTCCAGCAATTATGTGACAACAACTATGTGCAAAGAATTGTGCCTATTGCTGATTGTGTAAATGGAACCATGTCCGCTAAGCCATGATTTCCTGTCTTCAATACGTTGACATTTCATGGCCAMAGATGCTGTATTTTTCCAGAACAGAAATCTAGGAAGTGCCTTTCCTACTGGTTGCTGTCTTGTAGCTTCTTCTGTAATATTCCAAACCGATTTACCTAGGATGTTGATCCTGTGACCTCCTTTGACTATTAATATGTATGTCTACAAACCTCAGCAAAGCTCTTTACACAGTTCATGTACTAGGCAGGCAACTACCCTCATGCTTTACAGTGCTTTATTTTTTAAAAGTGGTTTCAAATACATTATCTCATTTAATTCTTGCAACAACCAGATGAAATGTGTGTCACAGTTCTCAAGAGAAACAGAAACAATGGTGAGTGTGTGTGGCAGGGGAGGAATTTATTTTATGGGATTGATGGACACAATTACAGAGGTGGCAAGTCCATACGCTGCAGTATGGGCTAACAGGCTGGAGATCCAGGCAGAGCCAATATTACGGTTAGACAATGTTACAATTGAAGCATAGTCTTCATTACTCTGGAAGGTCAGTCTTCTAGTTCTATTCAGGCCTTCAACTGATACAGGAGGCCCATTCACACTGTGGAGGGCAATCTGCTTGACTCAAAGTTTACCAATTTAAGTATAAATCTTATCCCCAAACACCTTCACTGAAACATCCAAAATGTAGATCAACTCTCTAGGTAATGTGGCCCAGACSAGTRGACACATAAAATTAACCATTCCAGATAGGTATCATTAGCYTCACTTTTAAGGATGTAGATACTAGGGATCTTCAAGATCAAGTGAATTTTCCAAGATTTGGCCGTTATGAAGATTTGGTTACAATGTTCATTCTGCTATACACAGCTATTTCATAAAATCTATGATCCTAAGTTTACAATGTTTTTTTTTTTGTTGTTGTTGTTGTTGTTTGTTTGTTTGTTTTGTTTTATATCAGAGAAACTCAAGCAGGTACTCAAGCTGCCTTGGAATTCCTCCTGATTTTCTTTGCTCTGATATCAATTCTCTGACACCAATTCTCTGAGTGTCCTATAATTCAGCTTAATTTGACACTATCCAGAATTAGGCAAGACCCCCTGCAATTTAAGGACTCAGTCTCAAAACGCTGCCCCATTTTAGACATGACGCCAGCCACAAACTTCAGGTGTCCCAAGCCACCTGCACTTCTGCCAGGGCAAACACAAAAAGGCTTCCCACAAGCCCCTCAGATTTGATAACTCTCTAGAACGATTCACAGAATTCAGGAGTGTTCTGTACTTAATGATTAGCATTTATTATAAAGGATACAGATGAACAGCCAGATGAAGAGATGTGTAGCACAAGATCTGGAAGGATCATGAGCACAGAAGGTTCTGTCTCCCTGGAGTCAGGGCTCGCCACGCTCCCAGCGCATTGAGGTGTTCACCTACCAGACAGCTCCACTGAGCACAGTGTCTAAAGTTTTTATCTGGGTCTCATTTTGCAGGCATGATTGATTAAATCCTTCGTGGTGTGATTGAACTCAATCCCAATCCTTTTCCCCATCCAGGAGGTTGCGGGGCTGAGGCTGAAAGTTCCAACCTCTAATGGTATATGTTTGGTCTTCTTGATGTGGCAGGGCCTTCTCTCATAAAAATCTAAAGGTCCCTGTGGGTTCGCTCATTAGCATAACAAAGACACACCTATCACTGCGAAAATTCAGAGTTTCTGAAGAACTGTGCTGGGAGTGGGGATCAGGACCAAATATATTATTTATCATATCACACTTTGCTGTGATTTTATGCATGTGCTTTGATCTGAACAAGTTTTGTTTAAGGCAGTTTCCTAAAAATCACAAATTTGGAAGACAAGAAATAAAGATTAATGTCATCAACCATTTATTTATTCAACATGTTTCTAATGAATACCTACTATGTACCAGATGCTCTATGAGACACTGGGAATGCAAACATGATTCCTGTCCAGGTTGTTTTCTCTTTTATTACTATATAAATACTTTTATGAGTATATAATAATTATACATAATAATGGAATTCATGGCTACATATTTGTACATGCACATGACATAACAATATAATTTGGTCTCTTTCATTCCCCAGTGCTGCCCCTTTCTCTCTCTTCCTCCCTCCCCTTGGTC